GATGATCTTGGAGGTCTCTTCCAACCTTAATGATTCTATGATTCTATGATTCTATACAGAAAAAGTAGTGCATTCTCTGGACTTGTTAGTTTGGGCTTACTTACATGAGGGATCATTTTTTACTAGTAGTTTATATTTCATGAACTTTTTTGTATTTAAATATTTATATCAAACATCAAATATTTATATTCAATAATTATAAAAATGGAATATAACATTAAGAAAACGAAGGAATTTTAAAATATTTAAACATATTTAATACTAAATAAGTTTTACATATATTTTAAATATTTAAATAAATTCAATAGTAAATGCTGAAACGTGTAAATACCTCTGCTTCTGTACGCATGCACAGAAACCTGCTAAAAGTAAAGTCTGACAAAGTAGAGCCCTTGACTGAGTCCTCATTCCCATTTATACAGTGATTTCTGTCTACTTTCACGCCCCTGAGCACTTGCAGGGCTGAGAAAACATGCCTTGCCACGAGCAAAGATGATGTGCTTTTGCAAGCATAGCGCATATAACTTATATAATAGAGCTTAATATAAGCTGCTCAGAAATTCAAGATATTCTTCTGCGTATGGTAGCGAAGTGAAATTCATCCTTGTCCTCACAATCTAGCCATAAAACTTGCACACCCAAGTAACGAGGGGTGAAACTCCAAAACTTTCCACTGATCTTACTGAGATGTTGTTTTTCTGCAAATTACAGTGAGAAAAATACATTTTTGTCACGTCGATAAGCTGTCATACAAATAAGATTTGGCTACATTTTTTTACTTGCGTGCTCAAAGAAAACGACAGCATCAGTAATGTACAGGGGAAACTATAGTCACAGGCAGCACGTAGATAAAAAACAGGAAAAAGACCTCAAAAGTTCAGTGTCAGCTTTTTGTTGCCATTATCCTCCCGCACTATGGACATGCTTTTTGTCGTCTGGCTCATTTTCTCACATGATAACACGCGGTTCAAGGAAAAAGAATCTTTTCCAAACAGGAAACAGAGAAAAGCTGGCTAATTTCCTTTATATTTTGCCCTGTTCTTGTGGCTAGGGCTTATCTGTGAAGCCTGGGGACAGTATGTTTTCAACGCAATAGATTTCTGCGGACTTAATAAATATCACTTGCCTCGTGGGAGAATGTTTGATGATTAAACTGTCGCTACATTGAATATAGCAGCAGCCTCCACGTAAGGTCAGCATGTGCTGACTGGTTTTTCTTGTGAGGCTAAAGGTATCCCAAAAGACCCTTTTATTTTTTCCATTTTGCTGTTCGTAAAGGCCCAATCCATTTTGTGAATTCATTTATTGAAAGGGTTAAAGCTGGCTGGGAATCTATCAATTATTTCCTACTGAATACTTTTAAAACAAACCGTTTCCTTCAAGGAAAATGGTTTGTTTTAAAAAATTTTTAAAACTTCCTTTTTCTGAAAAATGAATTTCTGTCAGTCGAAATTAACCGAGACACTGAAACAATCTAAATAATTTAGTAACATGAACAAATGTATAAAGTTAAGCTCAAAACAATTTTTTTAGATAATGGAAAATAGCTGATTGATGTAAAATATTTTGTAGTGGGCTTCTCGTCGTGGACACTCAAGAGTCTACACTTCAGCCAGTGTTAGTGTGATGGTGGGGCAACAAAAATCCTGAAAATTGCTGGAAAACCATTTCATATCTACCTTTCTTAGGAACAGTCTCTTTTGGAGGCTCTGACTGTGCACATTGAGAGTCTCTTGAAAGTAAATTGAGCTGTGGGCTTTGCCCCTGACTCAAGGATTGCATGGCAATCCATTCTACGTTATTCTTTGGCAACAGCTCTCCCCTCATAGAACAAAATTTTGAGATGGACCATGTAAAACTAGAATTTATAAAAGCATTCAGAGCTTTTCCTATAGCTGAGTTCCACATCCGTATGGTTCGTAACATTCTTCTTCCCTACAACATTCACAATTTCATTCCAGTAATATTCAACTGCTCCAAACTTTGACCCCAGTCACGGTGTATCAGGTATTTAGTCTGAAGAGAGGCCACAATTTGTTCTTGGAAAAGGTTAGTATTAAACATTTGATTAGATGTATTAAACACTCTAACTTATATTGCTTTCAGTGTTAGTCTTTGGTGTGAAAATTATCATGCATAACCCACAAAAACTAAAAGCCAACTGATAACCTCTGCAGATCATCTACAAAGAGAATATGTGGCAAAAGAATGCTTGATAATTGTTCTTCAATTAAACGTTGTTCAATTAATTAGAAAACGTACAATTTCTGACAAATTCAAAAGCTTGAGCAAAAGCCCTTATTCTCTTGTACTTATTGATTAAAAACGGTGAATGTGTAACAACCCGCAATTGCCCAGGCAGGATCCTGTTAGCTGCGCATAATTCTACAGATCATAAAGGGGCCTGCATAATCCATTTATTTTTGTGAAAACTGGTTACAGCATAAGCAGCTAGAAGCTCAAAAAATGCAGTGCAATGAAGAAATGCAGTAATTCTACAGCCCGAGTGGGTTAGCCAAGTAAAGAAGTCACTGCATCTGAGGTACTGAGACAGTTTTAGACATGAACAACCCATTCATTGCCTTCTAAAAAGCTCCTGAAGTTAAGCAGTACAAGCAGCGCACGTGTACACTGTCAGACCACACAAGTGCCATGTCAAAGAATCATGTAATTTTGAATGTCGAAGAGTTTAGTAAGAGTGAATTACAGTTCTATTTTATTTTCTCTGGAAAGAGAACAAAATTAAATTAGTAATGGGACTGCATTTCATCAGTGCATACTAATAGCCTCCAGTTGTTATACAAGCTTCCCCGTTCACATTAGAGAAGTAACCAATTATACACATCACTATCTTGAGCCGTGAAATTTTAATTCGTGCCCCCGAAAGATTAGAATATCAATTACAAATGCTGTGCAAGTGCAAAAGATAAGTGTGAAGCCGATCCCCACAAATAACACAGTTAAATTGCTTTTTCCTTCTTTAACTTCAGTCTCATTGTGGAAAAAGCTTTTTTTTTTTTCCCCATTTTATATATATATATATAATGCATTCTGTTGCCACCTCTACATGAGTGTAAATTCAGCATCCCGAGCCACGTGCATACCGACAACGACACAAATGCCACAGGCTGATCGTAAATACTAGGGTATACCTCTGCTATAGTCATTCTCATAGCACTGACAGGTGAGGGCTCAATATCCACCAGCTGAACTGCATTGAAACTCTAGATGCAGAGATTGCCCAAGGATGAAAACACACAGCAGCAAAGGTTAGAAAGGCAGGGCAAAGACAGTTAGAAAGAGTCTGCTCACTGTATTAAGAACAACGAAAAACTTTATGTAAATAAGTGACTGTACAAAGGAGCTGGAAGAAAATTCAAAATCGCAGTTTGTTAAAATGGAAAGGCAAAGGAAGTGTTACAGATGTCAGTATGTCTGGAAAAATCACTCGTACATATCTGTTAATTCTTGAATTTAATCACCTGAACTGGAGATCAAGACATTTCTGTCCAAGTCAGTTTACTAAGAAATTCAAGTAATAAAAAGCTGCACAAGGTTAACTTTTCTAAAGATCTAGACTTATTTTAGACTGTTATTTCTTAAAATAACGTTAGTAATGTCGGTAGGACAGCAACAATCCACTTCTATTAAAGTGCTGTTTGGAAATGTATTTACATACTGTGATGTACTCAATTTTAATGTCATCAATGATTGCTTTGGAAGCAACATATGCACAAAAATAATATTTTCCGAGATTATTTTGGAACGCAATGTTTTGACAGTATTCTTTCTAAATCAGTAACTTCTGATATGTATGTATAAATATTCATTGAGTAATTTAGAGGTATTTACTTGGCATAGCATCACACGTGTTGTAGCCCACTATTAGTGAATATTACAAGAATCTCACCAGCACGATAAAAAGCTAACAAAATGTAGCAAGAATTATGCTGAAAGCAGAGAAACACAGGACTGCTAGTCACAATCTTTGTGGGTATTTGTTTGGATATTAGGAAAAATTTCTTCCCCAAAAGGGTTGTCAAGCATTGGAACAGGCTGCCCAGGGAAGTGCTGGAGTCACCGTCCCTGGAGGTATTGAAAAGACGTGTAGATGTGGTGCTTAAGGACGTGGTTTAGTGGTGGACTTGGCAGTGTTAGTTTAACGGTTGGACTCGATGATCTTAAGGGTCTTTTCCAACCTAAACGATTCCATGCTTCTATAATCGGGAAGCAAAAAAGATTCTGCTCTTCTGCGGATGACGTCGAGCCTGTTTGATGCTTTTGTTACGATTACCTACCTACTGCAAGCGGAGCTGGTGGAATCAGGCCACTTTCTCTTTCTTTTCCAAAAATACAGCATGAGGTTAAACCAGACGGGGATACCAGTGAGCACTATTCTCTTACCCATTTATAACAACATTCTTAAAAATAGAGCAAGAACAAATAAATCAAGGAATTCAGCAGGGTTCTTACAGTGTCGCTGTCGCTTGGTTGGAACTGGAAAGGCTGCGGTTTGTGAAACACAGAGTTCTCCTGTAAAAACAGCTGTAGATTGTAATCCCGCACCACCTGAGAAAATAACAAATGCCGTTTAGATTCGTTATTTTGTAAACTTAAAAACATGCTCTATAGTAAAATTAGTGCAGTGTTTCAAACAGAGACCAAATCTGCAGCAGAACTGTGAATGCAACAAAAGGAAATATGAGACCAGATTCTGGGCAGTACTACCCACAGCTATTCAGAAGTGACTGGCAGGACACACACCGAACAAGAGAGACCTAAAAAATACCTGCCATTAACCAACGAAAAATACCACAAAGGCAAAGCGGGGAAAGAAGTCAACTACCACGTATACAGTACGTAGTGTCACTACCATAAGTATTTTTCTCTCTTCTTGTGGATAATCTCTTGTACACAGTTCTTTCTTAAGCTGAGATGTCTTATTTTTACACAAATTATTAGTTGCAGGAGCTGAAAAGACTATTTGGAATAATGCATTCAAAATCAGTTGCAAAATTCATCTCTTTATATTAAATTGCTTTCAGAGAAAACTCTCATAGCTTGCATTTTGCTAAACCAAAACTACTTCAGCTACTAAATGTTTAATGATACATTTCAGATAGCATGACACGTACCCCTAAACAAATCTCTTATGTCACAATTTACACATATTTATAAAGAAAAACTCAGTGATTGCAATATGAAAAAATAGTATCACTAGCTGAAGAACACTAGAGAGTATTCACTGCTTCAATTGATGAAAATGCGTAAATAGCAGCATGAAATTATAAAAATCTACCACCAAACCGAGGGTTTAAATGCACAGAAGTGTATAATAAAGATGGTATTTATCCAGAAATAGCAGCAGCATTGTATGTGACCGAGAATTCTGATTACACTGTATGTACAATGGTAAATACATGTTCTCTAATGCATCAAAATGTTGATGCTTGTGGTACCAACATACCGAACTGTAAAAAATTAATCTTCAGTTAAAGAAAGTAAATAGTCCTCCAGGGCCAATAATGCACTCATTTAAAACAGTAAAGTACATCATTACTGCACCAGTTTGAGCAGCTGAACGTCAACACATTCAAATGCGTAGAAAACATACAGAGAAGGCATACAGGGAGCCTGTATTAGGAATTCCAATAAATAGAAATTTGGAAGATACTAAAGGAGGAATCATCTGCAGCTTCAGATGATGCTCAGCACTGACCATGGCATCGAGATCATCTACGTTAAACAGCTCCAGTCTTCACACAGTCCTTTAGGTATATGTGAACGCTGACCGCAGCACACAACTCCGTGCCATGACAAATAGATGTAACTACTGCAAACCAGCTTCAATTAGAAAAAACCCCAAAGCGTAGTTACTGAGGACGTGAAAACCTATGCAGTTATTTTAACGCAAGCAGCTTTCACTGTGGACCTCTAACTCAAAAGCAACTCAGTTCTTCGAAGAAGAAAAACCACCTTCACAACAACACTCGTAAGAAATGTTCCCTCAAAGCAACAATACTTAGTTATAAATGAGAACAACTGCTACCATAACGTGAGACTTGGGAGAGTGTGCAAGTCCAGCAAATTAATTCCCCGGAGCATTTTGCACAATGTATTTGACAATTGTTAGAAAGAAAAAGACTCCTAAGCAACACGGTATTCTCAGGATTAAGCAGCAACTCTTCCAAATAGATTTCCTGTTATTCAGAAATTAAGTCAACATTCTCACGCAGTTTCTTTATGAAGTCAATGTCAACTGACATGTTAAAATAGACTTGAAATCAAATGTTAAATATATACCATATGCCGAAAGAAGGCATAGTCAGCGATGTGCATAAATGAAATTATTTGCCCTGGGTTGGTGAAGCTTCTTACCAGAAACATCACAGAAATGTCATTCAAAACAGCAAGCGGCATTTCAGAAAATGTTCCAAAGAAAATCAGGCTTTTTCCAAAAGAGAAGTGCGAGAAGTACAAGTCTTGATTAAGACTGTTCACGTGAAAAGGAAGTTAAATTGCATTTTCATACGCTCCGTGTCAGAGGGTACTAACTACTTCCTGGACATGCCAGAGGAACGACATGGGTCACCCCAACCCAGCAGTAATAAAACCTCCAAAGCTGCAACAAACAATGCTACGATAAACTGTGAAAAACCTTCATTTTATACAGGAAACTGGTTTTTGAGACGTTTCCCCCAATCTGCATTAGCATGAGGTGACTGACAATCTCCTGAGCAGCTGAACACAACACAGCCCTGCCCATCCGAAGCAGCCCCCTCTGGCTCTCCGACATTCGAGGGGTAGGCAGCCCCTTCTGGGAAGCAACCCAGAAGTGTCTCGTTCTAAAGCAAATAGAATGTAATTCCATCCTGTAAACAGATGTAGAGTTCAGATGGAAAAACTAAAGCTTTCTACCAAGGATCTAAAGTGTCTCTTCTAAACCTAGCTTGGCAAGCTTGTGATCTTGTACTTAAAACTAACAAAGAACAGGTGAAGTATTAAAAAAACACAATAAATATTTAAATCTGTCCTTTGATAGCAAGCTGTTTTTTATTCCAAATTACTAAATCGCTAACAAATTTGTTACATGTTTAACACTCAAGCTACTTTTGAAACACATGCGTAGCTTTTGACGTAGAGTTTCTGCTCTGGATTCACCTCTCCCTGTCGAGCTGACTCCTGCAACACGGACCTACAGGAAACGCTGAAAGTTCAAAAGAAAGGATGAGCAAAGCCTTCGTCCGTGGAATAAGCCACCAATTAATCTGTTTAGTATTTCAGAGCAAGACACACGTTTTCAGTAGTAATGTAATACAAATTATTCTTCTCTGCATTCTTGAACTGCGAGAAAATTGGCGCTGATGAGCTATAACCAGTTGTAAAAATCCTGTTCGGACCTGACAGCTGTATTTACATTTTTGTTCGTTCTCCAGGCATTGTACTAGCTTAGTAAAGCAGAAACAGAACTATGTTCCTCAAACATACAGCATGACGTTACGGTATAAAATAAGCCAGACCTGCAGGCTTCTGGCCACACAGAGGCTTGCTAACGCAAGCTATCACAAGCTCAGCGCACACAAATACGACGAAGGTATTCCCGTGCAAATGAGCTCTTTGGAAATGACAGTTTAGTTAGATGAAAGTCCCAGACGGGCAACACTCCTAATATTCTGATCACAAAGCACTGAATACAGTATTGAGAAACTAATTATGACTACCTAGACATTATATATATGCATATTTAGTTAAAAGATTCAAAACCAGCATTTTTGGGGAAGATATTTTAAGTCGACCTGAATGATATACACCAAGCTAAATCATTGAAAGTCCTTTTCCAACAGAAGATAAAATAGTATTTTCATTACCTTTACAGTTGCTGCCAAGTAAATTCAAAGACAAGCTAGCGCAAAGCCAATTTTTAATCCACCCACCTTATATCTAATAAGGTGCAAGTCAGCATGCTTGCAGGTGAATAAGGAACGTGTTAAATACGTTGTTTCTACATAAGTCCTTGCATAAAATGAGCTCTGTTTCTATGTGGGTGGCTACAGTATACGTATAAAGGAATATTATGACTGCACCAAAGCAGCTCGGTTTGAGCTCAATGGCAATTTTTTTTTTTTTTTTTAGCACAGCAGATGAATTATTTAAGTATCAAAATTATCCTGGAAGCGATCGCGTATTCCCGATTCTGGCTGCTCGACAAAGCAAACAAACCACGTCTATGACAAGACTCTACCCTGTTTTCTGTATTTGCCATTCTCAATTCAAAGGAGAAAACGCCGTAATATTTTGATTTTTAAGCTGACAGTCAATTATTAAGAAATGATCCAAACAGTTTCACAGGGCTTTACTGTGATGGATGACTAATGCGGTTCCAGATTACCCAGTGCAGAACTCAGCTGCAATTTCTCCTTCCAAACATGCAGAGTGAGTATAACTGAACATCTCTTGATTGCTGTTCTCTAAAGACCTTGTACTGCGTAAATGCACTCATGAGAATGCAATCTGGGTGGCAACAGGAAAAATTCTCCCCAGGAAAACTGCCTAGTTTCTTTTAACTTAATACTGCTCGGGAGTAACCAAAAATAATAACCATTCAGTTTTGTCATTATTTTGGAAGCAAATCTTAAGCCTAGGAACTTATATATGCTGTAAGTATTCAGTTACAAAGGATCGTTCAGTAAAAACTTACCCTGCTGGAAGTCTCCAGTAAAAACTGGAATGTGTTTTGTACAGCT